TACATGCCATGAAGAAGACCCAAGTTTCTAACTATACAATAGAATCCAGCAACACCCTCAAGCTATTTAAGGGAGTGCAGCCCCCTCTAGGACAGGCTGTGACTCCTCCAGCAGCTTTGTCACTGAGCAGCAGGGCCTCAATCTTGTCTGGATTATTGACCATCAGCCATCTTGAGGCACCTGTTCAGAACTTCCACAGACACACCCAACGCCATGCCAAAATAAAATAAGGTTAATTTAAAAACAATAAAATAAAACACTTCATTTAATTGAGTATTGGAGCCAGTACCGAAAAGAACTGATTTGTCAAGGCTTGGAATAAGGATGAAGGTGACAACCAGCTCTTTCAGTGCTCTATAAACAAAATCTATCTTGGGACAAATCTATTCAATTTCGGTTTCATTCTGTCTCTTTTATGATATGTCATTTTGATTACAAAGGTCAGATCTTTTAAAACCCATCTGTTATTGGTAGTGCAGCCCTTGTTTTCCAAGCAGATGCCACACACATTCACCCTGCAATTATCGAAGCTGTATCCAATTCTATATCATCCCATCCATACACTATTTTTAAAAATAAAACCTTAAAAATAAAACTTGACAATTCATATCCAGTAATATCTTGAATATGTGTAATGTTTATGGCAGTAAAGGTTATTGGAACTGGATTGGAATATGTGTAATGAATCTCTGTTTCCAAAAGTGTACCATGGTCCCTTCCACACGGCGGTAAAAAGCACGACCAAAGTGCAGCTTTTTACCGCCGCACCAAAAGAGACACGCGGCAGCGGGATCACACAGATCCCCTGAGTCGCCGTGCAGTTGCTCCCCGGCACGATCAGATGCCGGGGAGGAAGCCACTGACGGGAGACCGAGGCAGCCGGCTGCACATGTGTGTGCATGTGCAGTTCAGCCAGGAGCCTTCAATGCTCCTGACGACGGACGCGCCAGCGATCCCACGGGCGCGCTTGCTGCGGCATTTTAGGTCAGTCCTTCTCTTTACTAGGTTCTTTTTTGCTCCGCATTACTGGGCTGTAGGGACGGATCGGGGACGGGTGCGCGCCGCTTCCCAGATGTTGCGGTTTGATCGCACCCATTTGCTGCGCCCCCGATCCGTCCCTCTTCCGGCCCAAAACCTCCCGTGTGACCGGGGCCCATAGTTCCAAAATGGTGTGTTAAATATGTCTTAGCAGTTTGACAACACTGACAATCTGCATTGTCTAAATTGTAAATATGCTGCAATCTCTGAGGCATTTATAATCTTCAGAGATGGTATTTATGTTCTTTCATAGACCTATTTATTATGTTCTGAGACACATTGTCCCAGATCCCATTCTTTCAATGCAGCATTATATATTCCTCTTTCTTTCTGTGTTGACATTTGAAACAATAATTTAAAATCAGTTTTGTTTCAGTTTCTCAGCAATACTCCTTTATTGAAACAAGGACAGGTGTATCCTATCTGACACTTTGTAAGATAACTTCATTCCTACCTGTAACCAGTCCCCCACCCTCATTAATTTATATTTGGACCAATATGCCATATCTCCAAAGAATCCAGAAGTAGAGAATTCATGATTATAAACCACTGATGCCGAGGTGGTACTCCTGGACTTAAATGGAGTCTTCTAAAGCAGTGATGGAATTAAGAAAAACTGGGGAGAAGGTAAACTAAGGTTAGAAGCTAGCTTTTTGATGTGGTTATGTTGTGTGTTAATGCTGCATTTTGTACAGCAATACGTCTGTTATAGCTGATTAAATTATGATGAACTGTAAAGAGGTTAGGCATGGGAATTGTGGCAGCAATAAGTAGAAAATATGGTCATTAAAATGCAAAACATTGAAGGCTGAAAAAGGAGTCTGGTTCCCAAATTTTGGGGCTGGCTTCTAGAGCCAAAGAAAATTTGTCAAAATTTGCCTTCAGATCCCTTGATGATCATTCTTAGCCGTTTCATTTAGCTGTTAAACAGCACAGGGGTCAAGATAAATCCCTGCAGGACCTCATACATGCCAATAGTGCCAAGCTGTAACCCCCTAGCACTACCTTCTGCAATTGGCAAGCCAAATAAGATGAAACCACCTAAGCATGATGCCCCCTGTTTCCATCTCAGCCATTCTCTCCAGAAAGACACCATGGTTGATGATAGTGAAAGCCACTGACAGATCCAGGAGAATCAACAGACACAAACTTCCTAGAGTGAAGATCATCAGTCAGGGTGACCAAGACTGTTTCCATCCCAAATCTAGGCCTGAATATGAATTGGAATGGGTTTAGATAATCTGTCTATTCCCAGATCATGTGAAGTTCTGAAGCTGCGACTTTGCCAAAGAATGGAATGCTGACCATTAGGCAATAGTTGCTTATATCATTGAGATCCAGGGATGCCTTCTTCAGGAAGTGTTTTACAACTGTCTCTCACAGTGGTTGGATCTATACCAGGGCTGCCCAAACTTGGTTAATGTAAGAGCCACATAGAATAAACATCTCAAACATCGAGTGTTTGAGAGCTGCAAGACATGAACAAATATTGTAGTACACGTTTTATTGAAGAAATATGCAAATTTGCTTTTTATTAATATTAAATTAGACTGCCAGAAATAAAAACAAAAGGGGTAAAAACAGATATTGATCATGATATTTGTTCAGTGATATGTATTTGTTTGCTAATGATATTTTTCTAAGAGAGAGAGAGAGGTGGAAAGAAAAAATGAAAGAGGTAGAGAGAGAGAAAGAAAGAAAGAAAGAAAGAAAGAAAGAAAGAAAGAAAGAAAGAAAGAAAGAAAGAAAGAAAGAAAGAAAGAATAGATGGGAGAGGGCACGAGATGTGGAAAGAAAGCAACTTTAAATGCATCCTCAAAGCCTCCCCCCCCACACACACTACCTGGCTTGGCTTGGAGAAGGGATTTAAAGAGACAAATGCTTTCTCCAAGCTGGGGGGCGGGGTTGAGAATGCATTTAAAGTGTGTTCTTTCTCTGCTCCCCCCCACACATCAAGCTTACTCAGGGAGGGGAACACTGGCTGGGGAAGGGAAGACTGATCGGGGAGGCATGCCTTTCCTTCGCATCCCCAGCTGTCGTGCCGGGAGCCACAAAATATGTGTGAAAGAGCCACATGCAGCTCCCGAGCCACAACTTGGCCACCCCGACGTATACCCTGCCACAGATAGGCATTTATTACCACCTGGACTCAGTTGACCAACCCAACTTGGTTTGACACCAGCAAGTCACAAGTGTGGAAGTGGTGGGCCACATAATTTAAAGCAGGTTTTCCACTTCATCACGCCTCACCAACTGAAAGACATCCATACAACTAAGACCAGCCTGTGCCCCAGGAGAATCCTGAAGTCTATTAACTGGACCTGTATGTTTTCTGGGTCTACATGTTCAGAAGCCTGGGATAAGAATCCTCTGAAAGCAGAAAAGCTTAATCATATAAATAAGGTTGGGGAAGAAAGGTATAAATAAATAGTTGTTGTAGATTTTCTGGGTTGTATAGCCATGGTCTTGGCATTGTAGTACCTGACGTTTCACCAGCAGCTGTGACTGGCATCCTCAGAGGTGTAACATAGAAAGATGGAGTACTCTCTGTGTCAATGTGAGAAGAAAAATGGTAGGCATGTTTTTCTTCTCACATTGACACAGGGAGTACTCCATTTTTCTGTGTTACACCCTTGAGGATGCCAGTCACAGCTGCTGGCGAAACATCAGGTACTACAGTGCCAAGACCACAGCCATACAGCCCGGAAAATCTACAACAACTAATAAACTCTGGCTGTGAAAGTCTTTGACAACATATAAATACATAGTTATAGTTATAATTAAATAAATAGTTGCTGCTTTTCTCACCAGCAAGTACCTCTATTCAGCCCTCCAAGGCATCTAGGTACCAGTGGCCATTAGAGTCTCTGCCTGGTGACATGCTGCTCTTCCAGCCCACCTGACCCTTGGAGGAATTATCTCTTGCTGTTTTGGTACCGCTGCCACAATTTGACTGTTTTACAAATTAATTGCTGCAAAGCCAGTGCTTCCAGCTTCCCTTCCTGGATTGCTGTTCTAAGGCTTCACCTAATGCCTGCATCTCCTGCTGCCCAGAGACTGGTTGCTGCACTTGCACACTGCTGCAGAAATTGCAGTTTACCACTTAACTGCCTCCCTTTCCCTAGGGCAATTTTGAATAGCATGTTTGAGTGGTTCTTCATATGGTATGAAGAACAACTACCAGCATTTTAAATGGTTAAGAATTTATTAAAAGTAAGAAGTCTACACTCATACTGTCTATACAGCAACAGATTGAGCAAGAAATACAAAAGAAAGGTGCAAGCACACAATTCCCCTTCCCCTCAGTCTCTGCATGCTCTAGCTGATCTTATTCTAAGGCAGGCTCTTAACTTAGAGGACACAGTCTACTAAAAACATCCCATTACATTGGAATTTTTGTCCAGTCAGCCAGCCTTTGTCTGCCCCACATAGCAATGGCAGCCATCAAGAAGGTGCTCAGGCACAAGCATTTCTTTCTCCAGATGTAATCAGCCAAGATGCACCTGCAAAAAAGCCCTCCCTATGTCAACAAATTTTTATCTTCTGTTTTCCCCTACCCTTGCGCATCAGATTCCTTTCCTGAAATCCCCAGGAAGATACAATCTAGCCCCTGTTTCTTTCCTAGTTGTCAGATTCCAGATAAGGTGTGAGTTGACCATTTTATTGTCTCTGACTAGGCTGTCTATTAGAATTTCCAGAGCTTTGATGGCTGGTACTTGAATGATACTTGAAAACCATTGACTTCCCCCTTCCTGCCTGACTTTTAAAACTAAATATGGAGATTTGTCAACCCCAAGCCCTGAAGTAAAAAGACATTTCTTCACAATTGCCAGTAAAAAATGCTTAGCTAATATTTTCTAGTATAGACAGTTACTTAGCTAAGTAGATGAATTTTCTTGCCTTTCCAGTTTACATAATGCAGCTTGTTGTTGTTGTTGTTTTTAATTTCCATTTTTTTTCAGATTGGGTTCTATAACGCTGTAGCTATTCCATGCTACACTACACTCATGGAGATCCTCCCTGCCGCAGCACCACTGCTTCGGGCCTGCAAGTGAGTTACACACATTTTTACACAGAATACATTGGCCAGTTGAGAGCCATTTGATAAGATGTCTACTGTGAAGCAATAAGTGAATTAAAATAACTATGGCCCCGGTCACACGGGCAGGAAAGTGGGGGGGGGCGTAGCTGTTTCCCCCGAAGCAAAATAACGCGCGGTTGCGCGATCAGACCTCCCGTAGAGGTCCCGTAGAGGTCCCGTGGTTAGGGGGAAGGTGCCGATCACAGGACAATCCTGCGGCGCACCTCCCCCTCAACCGCCCGGTGCAGAGAGTTCCTCTGGAGCAGGCCGAGCCAGGAGTGGAGGGGGTACGGAAAAGAGGAGGGGGCTGTGTTGTTTGTTTTTAAACGAAGTGTGCGCATGCGCCATTGGGTGCTTGTGCGCATCCCGTGGAGACTTGGGGGGGGAACCTTTTAGCGATGGGACATGGGCAGGCGCCGGATTCCACGACCTACCACCGGAAACGCGATCAGGTGCCCGCCCTTGCCTGCGGTTTCCGCATCTTTGGTGGGAAACCTCGGGTTCGCCACGGGAGCTCTACGCTTCCCAGATCGCGCCCGGAAAATCCACCTCTTCCGCCTCTGTAGCGTGGCTACTGCTCCGTGTGACCGCAGCCTATAATAACTATCCCTGTTCTGGAAATTGTCAAATATGTCGTTGATTTGTGTAGCACTGTTGTAACTATTCCCCTTCCTGAACATTAACATGAGATTGCAGGACATGTTCTGTGATCCTTGACTTATACCCAGGGCCTGTGTATATTTGCTTGGAAGTGAACTACTCAAGCTTGGATTAACTGAAGTGTTTGTTGGCAGAAGAATTTCTGGCTAGGAAGCATGACTTTGTTATTCTGCTGCAGCCAATATGGCCCTGGAAATGCAGCTCCTGGGGAAGCACGAAAGCTGCCTGAAAAAAAAAATATGGTTAATCCAGCCCACTGTGTTTAGCAGTACTTAGTCCCAAGTAAGGGTGCATAGGATTTGTCCTATATTTTATGGTGGCCATCATGTTAATATTTAAAGCTAGAAAGCATCAGTTGTAGGTTTATCAAGAGAGTTTGGAGATGAAAATATGGCAAAACAGAAGAGCACAGTACAATTGTTTTCCCCTCAGTGTTTATTTTAAAAGTTTTATATCCCACTCTTCCAAAAACTCAGAGCAGTTAACTTCAGAGGTTTACTATAATAGAACTAGGATCATATTATGCAATCTACAGCTAACTGTCAGAGATGAGTGGAAGCCTTGAAGAACTATTTAATGCTTTTTGACCTTTGTATAAAACATGGATTTTTAAAATTGAAAGGGGTTCAACTTGGATGTTTGCAGTGAAATGCCTCTAGACAAGAAATAGCATAGCAGTTTATTTGGTATCTGACCTTCCCTATCAAAAGCTTGTAGATATAAAAACATTCTTGGGTTTTTTTCCTTTAACCACTTTTCTAGTGGTACAGTAGGTGGTAAAATTAATGTCTTTTACTGGTGAGACAAGGCTCTGATCTTTAAAAACTACGTATTTTATCTTTTGCTAAATTGCTAATGGTGTTACGACACATCCATGCTATACATTTCTGGTGAGTTCTGAATGATCTGAATGCCAGAACTGTAGTAGTCTCACCATCTCTGCAGGTGACCAGCAAAGTTGCAAAATACAATCCTAAACGTGAGTCATTCATAATTGGTTGGATCCTGTGAACTGATCTTTCTCTGCTTTGGCCCAGCAGTCCATTCAGTCTCCTAAAAAGTCAAATGTCAAAAATGTCCTCATGAATAAGACACTGTGCAGGAGGGGGAATCCAACAAAATAACCTCCATGTCCATCCTTATGCTGACAGAGAAAGCTTTCTTTTGACGCAAGAGTGAAAAGTGGTGATTTCACCCAACTCCCCTTCCTCATTGTTGCCCAATGCGTCTTATGGTATTTTTGGCCATGGAATTCTCTTGATCCCAGGTGCTGTTTTTTTCTGGAGTCTTGTAGTACAGTGGGCTTTTTAAGCAGTGGGCTTAAAAAGATGTAACTAGGCTTAAGATTGCGGTGTTAGGGGGCTACTGATGTGAGATGGAGAAATATACATAACAAGGAACACCTTGAGTTCACTGTATATGGGAGCCAACCCACCAGCAGTACAATCCTATGAAAAGTTGCATCAGATTAAACTCCTTGAAATCAGTGGGCTTGGACTGAAATAACTGCACAGGAATACACTGTAAATCTGTCATTTTAAGAACTGTCAGATACAAGTGTTCAGTATTCCTCAGAACCTTTAAAAAGTTGCATAGAAGGCAGAATTTTGTTGTCAGTGTATTTCATATGATAGTGTTGGAGTGAGAAGAGAAACAGGATGTAGTGGGTTGTTCCTTTCTAGGTAGCTTTTACTTGAATCTTACCTGCATCTACTTCTGGCATTTTTAGGTGTTTTTTGTTTGGTTGGGTGGTTGTTTGCTTGGTGGTGGTGATTGTTGTTGTTTGTAAAAGAGGTTTTCTATGCTGTACTACTTAGGCAGACTGGCCTGTAGTATTCATTCAGGCAGCCTCACTTTCTGTCTCGGCTGTTCCTCTCTGGAAGGCTCTTGAAGACTTGTTTGTTGGCTAAATTCCAATTCGGGAACATGTATTCAGTTGCTTCACAAAACATGCCAAAATGTGTATGTTTGCTAATCAAATAACAATGAAAAAATGAAGCACAATAAGCAGTTTTAAACATTTAGAGGTGGAAAGAATAAAGACATACTTCTCTGTGGATAGAGTCCTGCGCTTTCACACACACTGTGTTACACACTTTCAATGCACTTTGCACCTGGATTTTACTGTATGAACTGGCAAAATCCACTTGCAAATGGTCACTGAAGTGGATTGAAACTGCATTATTTAGCATGTGTGAAAGCACCTCTGGGTTCTAAGAGCTAAGTATAAATCCTGCTCAGTCCTCTTAATTCAGTTAAAGGTCTTATTTTAGTGCTCTTTCTTCATAGAAATAGCCTGTGATAGAAGGTTAGAGGTAGCTTGTTGGAAGGACTGCAGCACCCTGGGAATTTCAGAGCAATGAGTGGTCTCCCTTGCTTACAGTGCTTTGAATGATGATTCCATCTCAATAGTGATTCTATCCCAAGAAAAAATGGTTTTCCTATAAAAGCTGAACATCTTAATGTATATTTTAGTGTATTATGTATATTTAATGTATATTATTTATGATGTAGATTGCATATCTCTAAGATATTGTTTCAGGCCTTCTATAGGCTTACCAAGGTCCGGCGGGGGAATCGTATTTCTTGGCAGGAGCCTTGCCGCGGGGACGGCTGCAGGCGCTGCACCTGCCGTCACCAGGATGTGACGCTCTGCGTCGCTCTGGCAACGGGACTCCAAACAGCCCCATTGCCAGAGCAACGCGGAGCGTCACATCCTGGCAACGGCGGGTGCAGCGCGTGGAGCCGTCCCCGCGGCAAGCTGCCAAGAAATACGATTCCCCCGCCAGACCTTGGTAAGCCTAGCCTTCTCTGTCATGGCACCAACATTTTGGAACTCCCTCTCCAGGGAGATTCTTCTGCCTCCCTCTATCAGTGTCTTTTCACCAACAGGTGAAGACTTTTTTTTTTTTGTTTCATCTGGCACACCTGCAATAATAGTTACTGGCCCTCCTTCTAGTGTTGTTTGTTTATGTGTTTTTAATTGAATTTTGGGAGGGAAGGTGGCATGATATAGCCTGTTTTCCTCAGAACTTGGAAGCAAAGTACATATAGCTTTGTTTTAAGGACACATATATACAGATCCCCTCACCGCACTATTTTCTCTTTTCCTTTTCCTGGCAACCCCAATATCCTCAACTTTCCCTGGTTCCTTCTTGCCTTCCCACCAACCAACCAATGTACCTTTTATCTGCCACCAATCTTCACCTATATTTATTATTTATTTACTTCATTTATACCCTGACTTTCTCCACAATGGAGACCCAAACTATCTTATATCATTCTCCTCTCTTCAATTTTATTCTCCCAACAATCCTGTGCGGTAAGTTAGACTGAGGGTACATGACTGAACCAAGGTCACCCTGTGAGCTTCCACTGCAGAGTAAGGAATTGAACCTGGGTCTCCCAGATTCTAGTCTGAAACTCTAACCACTACACCACTCTGATATTTAGGGGGTAGCTACTTTTGACCAGTAGTTCAGGGTGAATAATGCACGTCCCATGGTATCAGGTCACTGGTGGTTGCTGCTGGATCTGGCCCCAAGGTGTCCTCTTCTAAAGGCCAAAACAAGCCTGGAAAGGGCCATGTACCCTGCCTTTGTGGATAGGAAGCCAAAGCTTGAAGGCTGGCAGTACTGTTGTGGTTGCCGAACAATGGTCACTGAGAATATTCATTTCTTAAAGCTTCTATTAATTTGAGGGGTTTAAACCCCCCCCATTTTTTCCCATAGAGTTCAGGTTTTTCTGCAAACCTAGGGCATTTTCCAGGGCAATGGTCACTGAGAATATTCATTTCTGAAAGCTTCTATTAATTTGAGGGGTTTAACACACACATAGAGTTCAGATTTTTCTGCAAACCTAGGGCATTTTCCAGGTTTGTAGAATGATCAGTCTTGTATTTTTATGTCTCCAGTTTCTGGATTTAAGTATTCACAGATTTGGCCATGTTGAGAATTAGATGTATTGGTATATCATTCTTAAAAAAGAGAATTCAACACTGGCTCATTTTTGCCTTTCCAGGGAAAATCTCAAACAATGGGAAAAAGTGATGAACGGAGAAGAAGCTTATGGATGGCTACCAGCCCAGCAAGATGAAACAGAGACATCAGATTCACTTCCAGTGAAGATTGATGACTGATTCCTATTTAAATACTGTGTCACCATCCTCTCCCTTTTAGGCATCTGTACTTGTTTTATTTTTCAAGGGATAAAAACTGCAAATGTTAACTGGGAAGATTTTGAAGTTTCCTTTCTTCACTGATACAGTGTGAACTGGGAGAGAGCTTGGCAATTCAATGGTTCCAGAATCAACTATTAAAAACAAATGTTTGGCTTGTAAATATACAAGACTAGCTTTTCTCATGGGCTGCATTGCTGGGGCCTTAATTTAAAATAGTTGGGGCTGGGAGGGCAAAACTTGGGAATTGCTTTTAAATTTTATCTTTATAATATGGAATTTCGTTGGTACTTTTACTATGCCATAACTGGTATAGTAAACTGGCTTTAATGCCAGGTTCACTAGGGGAAGTTCTTGCTATAAGTAGGATATTTCCACCTTGCTGTTGTGAATCTTTATGTTTGATCTTTGTGTAATCAATTTGAACTCCAGTAGAAACTCTCTGGAGTTGAAACTGTCATTGAGTTTACAGTACTTGAATTTATCTTGCTGCAGACAGGGAATTTAACTTCTAAATAGAAGGCTTCAGAAGCTATCTCATTAACATCTTGAGGGCAACTGCATTATGGCATACATTGATCATTTAGGTGGTTATAATATCTGGCTACCCAGCTTGATATCATAAGGTAGAAATAGTGTCCATTTGCAAACTGGAGATATAGAATATTTGTTGCCAGTGACCCTGAGTAAGAGTAATTTTAAATGTGCAGGCAGAGATTTGTCAAGCAATCAAGCTGGCCAGTTATAGTTTAGCAAGTATTAGAGAGACATGCCTTCGAATCCCAACTAGTCTACAAAAAACAGGACCTTCCAGACAGTCATATTTATTAAAAGTCATTTTGGTACCATCACAATAAATGAAACAGCAGTTCTTGTCAGGTTTGGTGTTGTTCAGTAGTACTCAGTGTGTCCAATGTTCCCTCTAAGCTGAGTTAGTGTGAGCTAGCTCACTGTTTTTTAGCCTACAGCTCACACATTTTTGTCTTAGCTCAGGAAGGATGGCTCCAGAGCAAACTAATTTATGCCGTAGCCGAATCAGTCGCTCACAACTTTAATGCCAGGAGCTCACAAAGTAGAATTTTTGCTCACAAGACTCCACAGCTTAGAGGGAACATTGGTGTGTACTATTCTGCCCCCAGTTGGCTTCCAGACTGCTTGGATCTCCCCCGTCTTAGTCTTGTAGGCAGACACTGTCAGCTGTAGAGATGACTGCTGAACAAGTAAGCTGATTTGGAAACCCATGCACTTTTGAATACTGTGAATGAAGGTCTGTGCTGACTTGGCTCCCTGTTCTGCAGATTATTATGTCGTGTTAAGTATGTGTATACCTCTTTGCAGAACTGGGTTTTAGACCTAGTACAAACATTTAACTATTTAATGTAATTTTATATGGTATAGAACTTAAGCCATGGGGTGTAATCCTAGCCTCACTGACTTCAGTGAGCATTCTGCTATTGACTTGAATGGATATGGAGCTCATAAGTCTTTTGCTTTGCCCTTCATCTTTTACCTGTTCCCACAAACATTCAAGCATGTAGAGAATGTAAGAGCTGATAGGGCGCAAAATCGTACCTGTTTTATAGCTCTGGCTAACATCTATTTGTTGGATGTTATATTTAAGTGGACTTTACTTGTGGAGGTCTAGCATTTGTAGGCCTAATCTGTCCATCTTTACACACATACCCCATTTTTTAAGACTAAGGGTCATGCACATTGGACTCTACACATGTACTTCCCATTTCAAGATCATGTCTGACATGTGGAGGGTCCTGGAGTTGGTCGACTCCCAGAGGGGAGTCATAATCCTGCTCTCTCACAAGACACAGACTATACCTATTTGAGAATTTGTTTGAAGGGGACATTGGAAACACTGTACTAAGACAGTTTCTCCTGTTACTTTTTAGGGACTTACAATGTAATCCCAAACAGAGTTGCACCCTTTTAAGTCCATTGACTTCAGTGGGATTACAAGGATGTAACTCTATTTAGGACTGCACTGTCAGGTATATTTTCAGGCATATGGAAAGGTATTCCAATAATACCTGAGAAACAGTCTGTAAACAGGGAAAATGATTGGTATACTTAGGTCTTTTTTGACAATAAATTAAGATACTGTGATTCTCAAAATGCTATTTTTTTCCTGAAAAAATTAAGTCATGGGTGAGATGCTTTACGTATATAATATTATGAGGAATATTAGAAGCAGACTTCAGTGTAGTATTTCCCTCCTTTGAAATGCATATAGCACTTTTTATAAGGGCACATACAAATCCTAAGATGGATTCAAGGCAGTGTTGCTTTAGAATAATAACTGTTAAAAGTCTATTTTAGCAGATCAGTAAATGTTTTTCCATTCTTCAATATGCTGTACTGTTCAGTACATAATTCACAATACTATATTAGCCAGGAAGGGGGTATCACCATTTAAAAAAAAAAAGTGACAACAGTTGCTTAGGTAGTAGTCAAACTCTTTTAGGTTTGTACAGATATATTTTCACTGTGCAATCATAAATGTAATTGCAGAAATATACTTGATCCTTTTCCATATGTGTGTTTACATTTGAGTTCCGGGGAATCGTTTTAAAGATCCAGGTCTTTGAACAGGGTCTTGAAGAAGTGATCTTCTGCCCGTTCATTTTAATCAGTTTTACAGACTTCATTTTATACATAAGCATTACTGCCCAGCTGGACCAAACAGATATTAACAAAAATAGATACGCACACCTAATATGATCTGACTTGGTTCAGATGGAGAGCAAAGCCCAGGCTGTTTCTTATTTATCTAAATTGTATTGTGTATGCATCTAGAAAAATGACAGTGGTGTTCAAGAAGCCATTCTGGATGTGTGGCATTATAAAAGCTGGGAGATATTCAAAGTAAATGAAAAAAGGAAAAAGAACTGTGACAATTAGCGCTTGGTAATATATTCATAAATCATAATATACAATAACAGAAAATAAGTAATATATATAGTGAATGTAGACGGTGGTCTCCGGAATGGTGTGCCGTTTCGACAGTGATCTTCTTCTGAACAGGGGTGTGTACAAAAACTGTCTTTCAACAATTATAGCCCATTGAAGAACATAGCTGTAAGCATAGCCTCATGATGAAGTGAATCAACAGTATATTTCCAATATGTCACCAAGAAATGAATTGTTGAAAGACAGTTTTTGTACACACCCCTGTTCAGAAGAAGATCATTGTCGAAACGGCACACCATTCCGGAGACCACCGTCTACATTCACTATATATATATTACTTATTTTCTGTTATTGTATATTATGATTTATGAATATATTACCAAGCGCTAATTGTCACAGTTCATTTTCCTTTTTTCATTGGCCTTATTACTGTGCCCATTCTTGTAACTATTCTCTAGATATTCAAAGTATACAGATTCTGAGAATTGGTTCACATTGCAGTAGTGTATATAGCATACAAATGTAAACATTCTACCCTCTGGACATTCATGTTATGGATGCTTGTGTGTGGAAACTCTTTTATTTGTGGGCTGTGCACATGATCATTGTACATACAAAGGCATGTGCCCTAGTTTCACAATAATGATACACACTTGAAAGGACTCTCATGAGAATAGGCTGTAGAGGGATTGCATGGATGGCTGAGTCACATCAGGCCTTCCTTCCAATCAGAAAGAGGGCTTTATGCATCACTGACAGTGTGAACATCATTTGTTTTGGATTTAAACAGCTATAATATTCTCTTCACTCCACCTGCTATCTTGTCAGTTGAGCATATTTTTTACAGTGTTAAAAGAATCTCAGAAGATAGATGGATTTAAACATTTAATGTTCTTGGCAGTATTACATAATTGCTCTGTTTTCCATGTTTATAAATGGCCTTCCCTCTCAATGAAATTTTGTTAAAAACGAGCATGTTAGTTCTTACGAGATATTGTCCCAGTCATAATTGCAGTGCTTATACAACATCCCTATTACATTTTGAATGATTTCTCATAAAAGGTAAGAATTCATAAGAAAATAACTATATAAGAAGTTAAAAGAAGTCACTATTTTAACTGATTATACAACTTGTAATTCTTTACATTACTTTTAAAAAAGATATTCCAGTGTAGAATACTGGTAATATGCCAAATAGCACCTGACATAGACATTGTGGTCACTGATATCATTTGGGGTATGGTTAAATTTTGGCTGCCTTCAGTATGGCAGCATACAAAAGGATTTTTTTTGTAAACAAAGTATGTACAAGTAAAAACCTCTTGAAAATGAATTTTAACATTACTTTTCGAATCTTAAAAAAAACTCTAACACAACTCCAGTTATTGTTTAGTTTTTAGTAAAAACAACAAAGGGAATGTTTAAAGCTGTGAAACATTTTTTAAAAATAGATTGTCTTTACTTAGTACTTCACTCCAGAATATTAGACACTGTGAGACTGTGAGTGGGCCTTGGACTCCTAACATTCCCCTGTCCCTACCACAGTTTCCTCCACATGGGTGAAAGTAAACCAGGGAGAAGACAGTCCACTGTAAATTCAGGATCTCTGTAGTTCAGATATTAATTCCAGTCAAGGTGTGAGGAAAAGAGGATGGAGTTATGTGGGACCAGGGCCTCCTCTTAGTTTCCTCATAGTTAAAATTCCAAGAGCCAAATAACACACAAGCAGGCCTTAAATATGCATGCATATTGAATACAAATTTTCCAGCTTATATTATTTGCCCTATGTTTTCCAAGGAAGAATAATTTAGCTTGAAGTAGAAACACAAATGTTTTTGCCCATGACGCTATTATGTTAAATTAGACTCCAGATCTGTGTCTCCAACTATTTCACTGGAAATTGCACTATTCTAAAGCAAACTTTAGAATGGCTGCAATATTATACAATGATTCAGTGTTCTGCAGACATTCTGTAGTATACTGTTTAGTACCCTTAGAATGGCAGAATACTGTAATTTTAAAATAAGGGAACAAATTCA